AATAGCCAATAGCGAATAGTCTGCGATAGAGAACGTAGCGTATTCCATCTTCACGCGAACTAATGATCTCTGCCGGCGGTCGTAAACCTAAGACCTTCAGTTTGTTATTAATTTTACTTTGCATCGAATTAAAGAAATGCAAATGGCATTATTTTATTTTTTTCGCGTGCGGCGTTCACAATTCCAAAACCTAATCACTTCGTGTAATTATTACAGCCATTACCGTGGAGGTTATCTCTCAAAAACGTCATTTTGCCTATACAAAATAACGCACCTTGTCTTACGATCCTTCATATATCATTCCATAAAAATGTAGTTTCGACGTTTAGGCGATACCCCGCACTTGTTTAAAGAACCGATACATTATTCGAGTTTTGCGCTTCTGCCTCGACTGTGCCAGCGTTTATTTGTTTTTATCTCGGTTTTTCTAGGTTTTCTAATAAATGCCTTTTAGATTTTACCTTTCTTAGTGATGGGAAAACGCAATCATAGAGACTGGAGAAGGATTTGGAACGCGAAAAGGGGTTGAGGGTTACCGTTCTCGATCTCGTTCTTCCCGTCGATCAAGGTCTTTTTCGTCAATTCGAAAGCCGAAGTCGCAGCACTTCGGTATAGTCATAGGGAACGTCGTAGTCAGCGCGACAGGTACTGCCCGGGTTTTGCGGAACTCGACAGAAGCCGGAGATGTCCTTGAGATTAATTTGCCGGACGACATTTTAGATATTTTGGGCAGAGACCCTAAAATTAAACCCTGCTTTGGCTTCCAGATGGTTGCATATAATAAGGAATGACCTTAACAAGGGAGAAAAAGAGAACGTTTTACCAAAACATATTATCCCAGACAATTTTTGCCCTCCAGTCATTAAACCTAGCACTTCAAAGGAGGGGGGGGGGGCTGATATGGACAGCTCCTATTTTAGACGATCTTTAAACAGGAAGCGCCTGGTTTACAACCAATCGAGTGATTTAAAACCGCAGAAGGACCTATCCTCGAGATGGCAGGAGAGCCAGAAACCTTACAGGAGACCTTAATGGTGGGTAAAACTGCGGGCAGGCAGGCTAATCCTTTGGTTTTATCCTGGATGAAGGGATACACAAAGCACATTTCATGTGTTAACTATTTGGACGATTTTTTAATTTTAGGTCATTCCTACGATTGTTGTTTGGAAAACATCAAATTTGTAACCGCAATCATCTGGAGCAGCTGGGCTTTTTAATTAATTATGATAAACGTTTTCTTCCGCCGGGCACAAAAAAGAAGTTTTTAGGATTCATTTATGACTCCATTGCCTTATCGATAAATTTCCCATACGAGAAATAGAATGGCACTGCTTTTTCAGAAGAAAAAGACCTGCCTGATTCGAGATCTAGCTCGATTTATTGGTACTCTGATTATAATAATAATAATTTTTTTATTCACAGATAAGTTACCTTATGTAAAATCATTTTTGGTAGTCGCGAGACTGTCAGGGAAGCGTTTAGGAGGAAGGGAGCACTCTCGGAGTCCTTAAAATTTAAAAATTCCAACAGTTCTGGTTTTGACAATGTTTCATCCAATACAATAAGGGCGTGTGTCATATTATAAACTTTTCTTTCATAATAGGCGATTTTCCAGAACTCTCGAAACTAATTTGTTTATACAAAAAGGGCGATCAGGCGAAGATTGAGAATTACAGACCAATATCTCTATTGGCTACATTTTCTAAGATTATTGAAAAACTAGTCGCCTTTCGGATAATGAAGTTTCTTCAACGGAACCGGGTATCATCCGCAACAACCAACATGGTTTCACTGAACATAGATCTACGCAAACTGCGCTATTCAGTTTAATCAGTAACACTGAAACAATTAGATAACAGTATAATAAGGAGATGATGATTTTGTATCTTTTTTCTGAAAGTCTGAGACATTGCTCTGTTATATATATATAAACGTGTTTCAGGATAAATTGAATCAAATGACAGCAACTTGTTGGTGCATTCTTTGCCATTTTTGAGCAATGGGTCATTTTTTGCTAATTTTTACGGTAATTTTTTTTGGAGTTTTTGTGTGTTTTACTTTTTTTGCATTTTTCAGGAATAGCGCTAGTTTGTTTGATATTTTACGGTACTTCTCTTGGCGAACTTATAAACCTTTGTTAACGTTTTATTTTCATGCAGTCTTAGATTTCTAAAACACAATGCAATATTTTTCTTTTCTCGGTAGTTCCGGGTATCTTTACCTGTTTAGAAATGAAGCCTAAAACCTCCATTATAAGCTAAATGCATAGTTAAGGTTTTCTTGGAACGTGCTTAAAGTCATCCACAAACAAATGCCTACTAAGGGATTAGATTTCTTTGGGATGCTGTAAGTGAGTCAGTACCTTACATACGTAGTTTGTACGACTGGCCTGCAGAGGGTGGAAATGAACCACCAATGAAATTCCTGTCTCATCTCACATAATTGCTTTTTATCATAATTTTGCGGTCTTATTCAGTTTTATCAATAAATTTATTTGTTATTTAAAATTGTGTCATTTTTGCGAGATTTTTAAGTCATAATTGCATTTTTTATTATGCATTTTCGCTGATTTTTTACTTCATTAAAATCCTAGCCCTAATAATAAGGTTATGGCGGTATTTGTTGATTTGGCAAAGGCGTTTAATTGACTGTGTAAACTATGAAATATTGTTATCGAAGCTCGAAACCTATGATTTGCGAGGAGTATGTCATAAATTCTTAACGAATTATATGCTGAATAGGAAACAGTTTGTAAGTTATCATGGAGTGTGCTCGGCAAAAGAAATAATTGAACACGGTGCTCCTCAAGGTAGCGTTCTTGGACCGTTACTTTTTTTTACTGTATATCAATGACCTGGACAAGGTTGTATCGATTTTCCACAGCGTGTATGCAGATGACATCGCACTTATATCGGGATACAACAGCATATCAGCGATGGCCAATTAAATCAACACAAATTTAACCAAATTGTATGAATTCTTCAACAAAAACGGACTGGCAATGACTACCGACAAGACCCTCACTATGTATACAATTTCACCTTGTTGAAAAAAATTACACCAATAGTCTACTGATACAACTAAAACACAAATCAACCAAGCAAGTCAATGAATTTAAATTACTTGGACTTTATGTTGATTTTTCTCTTACTTAGAAAACCCATGTTAATCACATTACCCGGAAATTGGCTAAATGTAGTTATGCACTGAAACGTTTTCTCAGAATATAAGAAAAACATACTGCTTCTGATGTTTTGAATATATTTTAAGATATGGTGTTGTTTTCTGGGGAAATTCTGTGTCAGCTACAATTTGGAATATTAGAGAGCTCCAAGTGCGTGCAAAATGGAGAACGGCACAGGCCAATATCAAAACAGCGACTATCGTCGTGTTAATTAAAAAAAAATAATACACCTCCTGCGAACTGGAAAACTGGACGAGTTAACCGAAGTTTATCCCGGTGATGATAACATCATCAGAGTCGCGACTATTAAAACAAAATCTGGACTATACAAGCGGACAGTGCGTAATTTGTGTCCACTGCTTAATGAACAAGAATAGTTAAACGAATCCTTTAATGCGGCCGGTTATGTTGGCGTACTTAGCTACATACTCAAGTAATATTGTTTTATAGTAACTACAGCAATAGTAAATGTTTCTAATTTGAATATTATCAAATATAATAATAGACAAAGTAATTTTGAAATTTTTCTCGTTTTTAATTGCACCAAACAACAGTATTAACCACGGTATTGCGCACGATACATATTGCTCATATTGTAAAAAAATCATTATTATACATATCTATTATTTATAATATTTTTTAAGGTCATTATCTGAATCTTCAAGAGCATTTCATGCCCTGTGTTAGATTTAAGGGCCTCTAAAGCTTTTAAGGGTCGCTATCATTTTATAAGGATTTCCATTCTAGAATCAAAAGTCATGGCATTGTTGGTTCGTGCAACAAGGGAAACGAAGACAAGTTAGAGTCGAAAAACGAGAGTATGAGGAACTTCAAAAGCAATTTCAAGAGGGTTTCATAGTCTTTATTTGGCTTTTAAAAACCAGAACAGTTGGAGGGAAACTTCAGAACTAAACGCGTGGTAAAAAGTGAGCAAACAACAGGGGGAATGAATATAGAACGTATAGGTGGGTTATGACGGGTAGCAGCGTGACTGTTACCTACTGGATTAGACAATAATTTTTTTTTGGTTTTGTCAAAATACTTTTACTATTACCGTTTGTCCCCCTAACAAGGCCCAATTAGTCTTAAAATAATTAACTATATTAACAGCACTAAAAAAACATGTCTCGGTGCTGCAATTTGCAATTATGCATTAAAGATAATATTCACATGAGAGCAAAATAAAATACTTTACCGGTTTTTGTCTTTACCTGAGTTTGATGCACTTCCTTCCAAAAAGTCACATAGCAAAACATTAACTCACATAAAAATACTAAATTTTAGATCATCATTAAGATTAAGTGAAGACAAAACACTTGAAGACGCAAGCGGGTATCAATAATTTATATATAATCTAGGTACATATATGAAGCATGAATCAGTTGATTACAATGTTATAGATGGGTGGAGTACATTTATTACCAGAAAGTGTAAAATATTATTAAAATGAAATTATAAATCTCAATGCTACCCAGTATGTCAATTATACAACACATGTTAAGTATTGTTTGTTTTTTGGAGTACTTTGAAAAACTAGTTTTATCGTTAATTACCTTGCTGCTGTCATAATCGTTCAATTTAATACAATTATCACCTTGCCTTTTAATTACCATTTATCTGTATCTCATTTAAAGGTGTACTTCCCATGAATTAATATTAGCCGAAAATTTAGTATGCAAATCAGCAACTATACACAATGATAATGTTAACTTCTTAAATGCGAGGCGCTAGTTATTATTCACATTCTCGATGAAGCTTGAAAATTTGAGAAACGAGGAAAGTTGCTCCCACAGATGGACAGACACAGGTCAGATTATAAACTGTTCCGTTTAATAAAATTGAGTTTGATTTCAATATTCACATAACTTGTCTATGGAAGATACATAATATGATGGTTTTTTGTACTATCAAAAAACCATTTATTGCTATTGACTGGGTCTTCGGATATTAGGTTGAGGATCTCAGAAATCGATCGCCCATATCATTTCAGTCGAAGAATTTATACGCGGATAATAAAAAAAGTACCTTATTGGTTAATTAAAAATAATTGCAATTTTCATTGTGGTTTTTAAAGTAGACTTATTAATTTAAATAGTAATATATTCTCAATGGAAAATAACTTCTTTGCAAAGTTAACACAAGGTGATGTCACGTTTAGTTGTTTAGTGGGAGAGGTCCAGACATCGATCTTCTCCAAGTACGCTGCACATAATTAATAATAACGAGGTATTATATTTAATTACTACTTACCTCTCTTTTGTTTAATGGCTAAATTGTTATTTTTGTTCATCGAATTTCCAGGAATACACTAATGCGCTTGTAGTGATTCAATTATCTGTTCAAGTTCCCCAACTTATAACCGCCAGTAAACCGATGCGATCTTGGTACAGGGAGTAGACCCAGTTTTGCCAACATTCATAAAGTCGTTTTCCAGGTTCATCGATGACCAGTCGTTGATCTAGGAGGTAGGTCCTTAAACATCAGGTTCTCGTCCACAGCTTTGGACCGGAATCCCGGTGATTGTAATTTCTGTAATTCTACAGGTAAAATTCAACCAGAAATCGTCTTTTCCCACTCGATTTGGAGAAATTCGCTTTGTGCTTGATTTTACAGGCTTGTTATGCAATGTGTTTTCCTCCTTTGTAGATATTTGATTAAATTTTTTTAGATCGTATGGGTTAAAATCTGTTTTTTGTCCTCGTCCCTTGTTGTATTGATCCAGTCTTAACAATTTTAGGTTTTCTGGGGTTTTATACGCTGAACGCTATTAGAAAATGCCTATTCCACGTCACTGTAGAAGAGGTAGATTTGATTGCAGACGCAAAGACTGTGATTTCTATAGGAAAAATCTGGTACCAAAGGTAAGGACAAAACACAACACTCAGTTTTCCGCCACAGTTTTTATTTTTTATTTTAATTTTAGTAAGTTTATCCAAAGCAAGTTGTCTTCCGCTTTTTTGCTGCAACAGGAACCATCGAACAGGATAGATAGCTTCTTCGCAAGCACCCTCGATCACGATCAGTGCAGAATTCGAGGATAACCTCGATAACAGACTGCCCAGCAAACACACTTTACGTTTAAAGTCGGTTTTAAAGCGTTTTGAAAGGATAAATTCGGTATTGGTAGTATGGTATACGTTTTTGTGTAGACCGATTTTATACCTACGTTTAAAATACGATTTTTATTCATATATATAAATCATAGAGTTCACTTTCTACGTTAATAGTACGTATATAAATAACCGTTTCTTAGCAATCGTTTTATAAACGTATATAACACCACTTTAATATACGCATATACGCATATAATCGTATATCAATGGGAAATAATAAACGCATAATATTCATACAAGAATACAGCCGGACATTTATGCGTATTACCATAAACGCTTTTTACACGGAAGTGTGTTGCTAGGGTGGTACTGAGAGAGGAGGGCTGCCCGACCTGTGCTGGCTAGCAAGTTGTCCTCCCGGTAGGCGTCGACGTCTTAGGGGATGTTTGGTCAATTTTGTGTACATGGGGGAAACAATGTTTTAATACACATGCACAATTAATATTTTTTGGTTTCCGCGCCGTTAATTGTTTATAGGCCGTTTTAGTTCCCCATAATAAGTAAAAGCAAGGATAGAACAAGTCCCGAAGAGAGTTGTTTTGTCCGTTATCAGTTGGCGGCGTGCCTGCAAAAATTACATAAACGCCAACGGGCTCTGTATCCGAAAACTAACAATTAACATAAAGTTAATTAATGTAAAGAGTTCATGAGCTTTCATTTAGCCTTTTGAGTATGTATAATTAGCTTGCACTAATTAAATGAGTTACAGTAAAAGAGCGCCGATTGAGAAGAGTTTGGTATCAAATTGTTCGCGCTTAATTAACAAATCGATTGCCAGATGTTCCGGAATTACAGCCCCGATCGCATATGATACGTTGTAGTGGTAGTCATACGGTGCCTATATTATTTTGCTTGACAATACAGAAAAAGTGCATCTACTTTTAAAAAATTTGCTCCATGAAAATTAAGCTCTTTAATTCTGGGGGGGGGGGGGGGCATGGTAGTAGTTTTCTACTAGAGAAGTAACTGTATGAAAAACTTCTCCTTTCTATATTTTTCTTCTATACAGTACAAAAGATTCACAGAATGTCTACGACTAGTGTGGTCGACTTATATGCGTTATATGAGTGTTGGTGTATCAAAATTGTAGGTAGTATCACAGTAAGGCTGGCCGGGCAAGTACTTCTGCATCCTCTCAATTTTCGTATCTTTTTTTATAAGCAATGGACTTAAGAGCTCAGGATCCACGACGTCACCGTCACGCTTTGTAACCCAGCTTACTAATAAACCAATCGCAATTACCAATACTAAACTTATTACGGAAATGTACCACACCGATAGACGAAACAGGATGAATGGGGGCTGCAATAAGTGACCACTAAAAATATGACGGTCAAATTACAAGAACTCGCCAATCTTACAGACCTTGTTGCTGTCACATTGATTGGAATAGAACAGTTGTCTATCGAAACCGGCTTGGCAAAGCTCTCAATTCCTCCTTGTAAGGTGTACCATTGATTACCAATGGTGATGCTGCCAACGGTAAGAAACGAAACAGCCATCGCCCAAAATGCCCCCTGAAGTACAACTGTGAGTAAAGTTTAGTAACCTAAAGCACTCACCTTTGCGTTCGCCAATGGGAAAACCATACCGAGCGAGAACACCCCCACGAATATTCCGGAAACTAACCCTAGTAGCGACATGAAGAAAGGAAGTATACCGCTCATGCGTTCGATGAAAAGAATTAGAGTCGTGCATATAAGACCTGTTAGAATGACTATCAATTTTAATACGCAGCCTTCTTTGGATCTCAGAGAGGTGCTGGGGAAGAATGGCGAGATGAAGTCGCTGTATATTGTCGCCGCCAGCGTGTTTAGTGTTGCAGATAGTGTGCTAGTAGATTAGTTTGGATTATTACAGTTCCGTTGGCAACATTTTTTTTAAGAGTTGCCTTGAAATCTGTTATGAGTGCATAGTTTCCATTCATGAAATTTTGAAGTATGAGGAAGCCGAAAGTGCCAACCAAGGTTTCACCTACGTCTTTTTAATGTTGGTAATAAATTGTACCAATTGCACCGTTAGGTATTCCTCTTTGTTGTCGTTGACAGTGTATTTTCCTGTACAAGTTCATCAAAATTGCAGATTTTGTATATAAGTACCGAAAACTCTGAAATGTTGAGAAGTCGTGAAGAAACATTTAATTTAGTACTCAGTCCCTTCTTGGATGCAATGGGACTACTAATGTAGGTGGAAGATTACGTGTGCGGACAATTCGCACCCGGATAATTCGCACCCGGACATTTCGCTCCCAGGATACTTCGCACCCTGGACATTTCGCTCCCGGAAAATTCGCACCCGGACCATTCGCACTCGAAAAATCGCTCCCGAATAATTCACACCCGGATAATTCTGTAAATCTTTGGTTTATTAAAACTACTAGACCATTGCCTTTACAGAATGTATGTAGTAGTGCACATCTTGGTAAACATCTACTTCATCGAAAAATGTTTCAAATAATAGTTATTTGGTCTTTCATTTTCAACACATCGCGATTCTTTAAGTATTTCCATTTCTTAAATATAATCACGCTGGTTTTTTTTTGAAGTTGTATGAAGAGTCTGATATAGTTAAATCCTGTAATTTAAGAACACATAATTTTTATCTACTGCGCTTTCGTTTTGAGAAAATAAGAATAGGTAACTGAAACGTCTTTTGTGGAGTAATTAAATACCAAATAGTTATACCTAGTTATAGTATATCTACAGTATTATGTGTAATATTCGCTACTTTTGAGACGCTCTTAATATTAAAACAGAATCAACATATAATACCGTACACAAACAAAGTGATAAGTCTAAAGTTAAAAATATTTACATTATAAGATCATGATGAAAATAGAAAAAGGAAGTAATTTTAACGCTCCCTTACATAAAGATTTCTTAATGAAGACACATAAAAAATTGTTCTTTATTTCTTTAGTTGAAAAGAGTGACAAAAGAAATGAATTTTTGACAAAACGAGTATGTATAAATGACAATAGAACAATGCATTTCATAGATGGCACTAAATTTGGATAAGTAATTAAGATAATATTACAATTAAAGGTAAATTTGAAAAGACCCCGATAACACAAATTGCACTTCATAAAGAAACAATAAGAGAAATATCGTAATGACATCCTTTCTATTATTTCTGGAAGATGAATAGGGTTTATTAAGAGGTAAAGGTAATTAGGTCCGAAAAATCAGGTTTAAGTACGTATGACCACAACTAATTAGAACTTTAACGCCTGTATAGTATCTTCATTCGTGAACGTTTGACAGAGTGGTATTTTAAAATTTATCTGAGCACGGGTTCTGATTTTGTGTATACTTTTTTTTTAATTTTAAAAAACTTTATTTCTGGTGGTAGTGTTGTGGTGGTGTTCAGAAAAGGTAAGTTTCCCGTTTTCTTAGAACCAGTTTTACGTTTCTTTGACCACATATGGCTATATGTTGATTATTGGTGACTGAGGAAAATTACACTAACTGCTTATTTTTTTGCGTTACCTTTGCTACAACTATGGTACGTAGTGAATGAACTTAAAAGTTTCTTTTTGATTTTCTTACTGTTATTTATTTTATAGTTTGAAGAGATACATGGAAAAATTCTGGCATTTTTTTAAGAGATTGTTAATAATCAAAACAGTAAGGGTTTTGAAAATCTTGAAACGTTTTTGGAACAGGTCGATATTGATGATTTTTTCTTTTAAATGTTTGTAATTGTTAAGTACCTATATACTTCCTTTTTAATTTTTGTATGGCATACCTAGTACTAAAGCAAAACCCTTAGCATTGGTAATTGCGCAACAAGGAAGATAGGACATCATTGGAAAGGCTTTCCTTCTCTGAATTTGGTGAGACTATAATTTTTTAGATTTGATATTTTCGAAATATTTTAAAAGTAAGTTGAGGGCGCGCTGTTGTTTATGTCATTGGAAGGATGTCGGGCCGATCACTATGTAATAGAAGCTAATGCGATCGTGCGTCAAAATTATGCAGTTGCAAGTGGTATAAAAAAGAGAAAACTTGTACCTGCAACGTCGAATGCGCTGGAAATGAAACAACTAAACCAAAAAAATTACATATCCGAATTCAGAGATGAGCGACCTTACCAACGATGCATCATTTAAGATTTTAAGGGTTGCACTGTCAGCGATGCGAGACAAAGACATTAGTGAGCAAGTTTTATTTTAGACACTGTTTCCTTCCATGATCAATTTGACGTGCCAAAGTGTTTTTTGAAAATTATTTTAATTTACAGAAATAGCTATGTATGGTTTCTAATGCACCACTGTATATTATTTAGCTTCGGAGAAATAACACCAAAATCTCCCCATAAAAATTGTTATAATAATAAATGGGTAGATTTTGGTGTTATTTCTCCGAAGCTTCTTAAGCACCCCATTGAGAGTCGTGGATCTTCACAATTTCAGTATATTATTTAAATAATAGCCATATAATTTATAGCAAGATCAATTTTTTTCACGATATTTATCAACATTTTTTTGCTTTTTTCGTTACTTTACAGTTCTTATCTCTTTAATTTTACGGAAACTCTCAAGAATCTATTTGTTTTACGTTCAAATATGATTATAATTTACTTGAGATTCTTTTAAGACAGTACACACCTATTTCGTTATGTGTCCTTTAAATGGACGACATCGAAGGTTAGAGAACTAGGAAACAACTTGCAGCTATTAACAAATAATAATTGTTAAAATTTTATTTAGACTTTTATATTCCTATTGCAATATTATTTGTACGTGCTAAAAGGTTTCCAAATGAAAAAAACCTTGATTGTGAACTGGTACAATAAAACAGGGTAAATAGGTTTAAGAAATGTCAGGTGACAGTTTTGCTGATAGACCGATACCAGCGTTTAGCAGCATCCGTCTACTTGTGAACATGAGTGCATGGACAATTTACATCACGGATGAGTGTCTTTTTACCTTTTATTTTGTTTTTTTTTAAATAAATTTTCATTCATGGTACCTTTAGCAAGTGTTCTCATGTTTAATACGGAGATTACAATAAAATAAGTACTAAATTCCAGATTTTGAGTGATATGGATGCTATTAAAGTGACCTAATATCTCTACTGCTTTGATATGGTCCATTCCATTTAAAAAGGTGCATAGGATTGTACGTATGAATTCTTGCCTCATAAATACTATTAAAACCAGGTGTCAAATTCTTGACAGAATAGCTTCCTAGCTGAAACCAAAAATTGCCAACATATGTACGCACTTACAGACGGGAAAAATTTATTCTTTAAAAGTTGCTTAAAATGATCTAAAACGTCAATTTTTACGCATGCATTTTGTTTGCTTTTATTAAAAGGACCTACCATCTAAATTTCGTTAAAATTGTTCCATAAATAAGAAAGTTGCATTTCTGCGCATGTGCAACACGATTTTTGCGCATGCATTTTGTTTGCTTTTATTAGAGGGACCTACCATCCAGTTTTCGTTAAGATTGCTGATCCATAAATAAGAAAGTTGGATGTTGCACATGCGCAACTCGATTTTTTGCGCATGCATTTTGTTTTCTTTTATTAGAGGGACCTACCATCCAATTTTCGTTAAAATTGCTCCATAAATAAGAAAGTTGGATGTTGCACACGCACAACTCGATTTTTTGCGCATGCATTTTGTTTTCTTTTATTAGGAGGACCAACCATCCAAATTTCGTTTTAATTGTTCCATAAATAAGAAAATTGCATTTCTGCGCATGCGCAACACGATTTTTGCGCATGAATTTTGTTTGCTTTTATTAAAGGGACTTACCATAGAAATTTCGTTTAAATTGCTTCAGAAACAAGATCGTTGCGTTTTGCAAATATGCAACACAATTTTTTGACTTTGACAATTTTTTTCTCCGTTTTTTGATAATATAACCCGGCCCAATTTTTTGTAGGTTGTACACAGGAAAATAAGGTCTTCCAAATAATAGAATAAAAATTTTAGGTTCCAAAATTTTTTTCCAAAAATCCGGCCCGTTATTTTTCTGTTCGGTATGCCTAAAACATATATACAAAATTTCAACAAAATCCGTCGAGCCGTTTTCTCAGAAAATTGCCAACAAACGTACGTACGTACGGTACATACAGACGGGAAAAAATTTTATTCTTTAAAAGTTGCTTAAAATGGTCTAAAACGTCGACATTTGATGAAATTTTGAAATGTTCAAAAAACGGCTATCGCAATAGCTACCTAGCACATGCTAGGAAGCTAAAAATACCGTAATCAATCTGAAACACTTTCGTACTTTTTTTTGGTGTAATTAGATTCGTCTTCGATTCGCTAAAAATGCTGAGTACCCATAGAAAATAACCTTAATCTTTAGTGTTAAATTAAAATGAAGTTAAAATTGAAAGTATTTGTATTTATGTCCTGGTGACACTAGCAATAAGATTGTAATAATTTTCCTTGCAATTTAATAATTACCAAATTAGCATTTCGCCCCCTAGCCAGTTGTAAAATACGTTAAAAGAATAACATTTCTTAAAGACAACAAATTATAATAACGTCCAACCAATTCAATGACCCTCATATTGCTTTCCCTTTTCAAAGTTATACCCTGCCGTTTCCAATTCACGCACGGTAAATTTTTAAATTTCGTAGGGACGTTAGATACACTAATGCATGTGCGGGGCGCGAGCAGGATCACCACCTGTCGAGACCGTTACAGTGTACCAAGAGGCTACTGGAAAAGGAGGGAATGGAAATGACGTCACGAGCAGCTGCGACGGTTGCTAGTGGAATGTGACGCTCTGTGCCGCACCAAACCACTGCCGAATATGAAAACGATCATAAACAGGAAATTGCTACATATTTCCCAATGTGAGCGCCACAATTCAACAAATGGAGCGTTAATTTTTTACCGGTCGAGTCAAATATATTTGCGGGAAAATAAG